TAAAAATAATCGAACGTTTGAGATCACAAATTGGATGTTATCGTCGATGTAGAGCAAAATTTTTTAAGGTGGGGGCTAACATTGCAGAGGTGTTGTATTGAATTGTTGGGGAAAAGCTTCGAATTAGATCTGAAGGTGGCTGCTACCATCCTCTCTCACACCTTTTCGAAATCCATGAGTACAACATCTCAAGGGTAGTGGCTTGTTTGGATTTTTAATTTACCAAAACATCGATGAGAATTGGAGGATTATCTAATTGAACTTCAATTTAAATTACCCGTGAATTGTTTTCTGTGATATTGATTCAATGACATGTGACCAGTTCTCTTGGATCTGTGACATGTGGAAATTTTGATTTGTTACTTGTGATATTGTTCCAATAGCCGGTAACCAATTCTCTTGGATTTGTGGCTTATAGACATCGGTCTGTTACTTATCAAATGGTGACCTGTGAACGATACTTGTGACCAATTAATATTGATATGTGAACTATAACATGTAATCTGTGAACATTTGTGACCTATACAATATGACATGTGACCTATGAATGGTCACCCGTGACATGTGACATGTGAACTATAATTTGTGACTAATTAATATTGACATGTAAACATAAATTAGTGATCTGTGATCTGTATACGTTGATATGTGACTTGTAACAAGTGCATAAAGATACGTGACATGTTATATGTTTACATGTCAGAGGTCATTGCTTCAATATAAAAAATTATCTAATTTATTACTCACAAATTAATCCAATTTATTAGTCACAGATCTCAGCCCAAACGCAGCACCACAACCACTACCTGCACAACTACTGTCATCGCCAAGAGAACAACGGTGAAAGAATCTCTCAGTTTAGCAAACTTATTAGCCAAATCGGTAGTGTATTTAGCAAGCGACACCGTCGGCTCCTCTTCAGAATCAAACACTTGTACCTTGGGTTTGCTATTGGCAGTTACAATCTACTGTATTGATGCTTTTGTTCAGCAATTAAATGTCCTCAAATTGGGTTCGATTTCAGCAAGCTGAAGAGCGGTTTTTACAGTAACAGCATGTGAAGTCAACGTAATGTAGGGCACCAATCGATTAAGGTAAAAGAGAGAGAAATTTTGGAGAGTAGCTAGTGAGAAAGCAGGAGAAGAGGAGGCCATGTGAAAATATGTGGACGAAATGAGTGATGAGCCACTACAGTAGCGGCACCGAAATATATGTACGCGAAATGATCGAGTTGTTCCGCCGCGCGTAGCGATACCAAAACATAGAGAGGGGAGAGTTGAGTGGGTAGAGAGAGAGAGAGAAAATAGGGTTGGGAGTTAATTTAATTTTAAATTATTGAACCATCACTTGATTTACGATTAAGTAAACCTTACTTCTTATTTTTGAATTGTCATATTTAAAAACAGTTTGAGGTGTAATTTCCACTTTTGTTTTTGTCCTGATAGAAATTATAATCTAAATTTTATCAAAGTCAAAGTCAATAAATAATTTTAATTTCATATTTCGTTAGCTTATCTAATTGTCTTAATTAAAATATCAATTTTAATTCCAATTAATTAATTAACTCATTTTCTACTATATGGACTATGCATTTATTTTGCAAGTTTATAAATTTTAAAATTTAATAGATGTTATTTTTTTTTTCAATTTAATATAACTAGATTTTAGAAAAATAGTGTCATATTGCATATTTTTATAAAATTAATTTTGCAATACCATCAATAATAATATACAAAATGATATCATTTTAATAAATATTCATTTTGGTAATTTTTACATGCACAACCAAAAATCAATTTTGTTTACCAAACAC